CTTAACAATTTGTGCCACCTGTACCAATAATTCGGGACTATTACTGACCATAACCCTAAATTAGAACTAGTAGGGTTTATTTACCCGCTCACAGTTCTCCCCCTCCAGAGAGAACCCGTTCCACGGGGGTAAGCTGCAATAATTCATTGTATTCGGCAATGGTAAGCTTCTTTATTTTAGTGAGGGTGGTATTTTTGGTCTGATAAAGCTGTTCGACCCCTAAGGGTCTGAACAGATAGTAAGTTCTTTTGGCCACCAGCATATAGTAGGCAGAAAGCCTGGTTCGTTGTAACAATGCTTTGTCGGCCGGGCTTACGGTGCTAAGCCTTTCTCCCATATAATAAGCGTGTACCAGAACTCCTATGGGGTCACCCCGGGTCTTTGCTTCATTAATTTGATCATAAATCAAATTTATCTGAGTTATGAGTTCTTGATTTTCGTGGTATGGACGGGGTTCGGCAATGACTATCGGTGGATTAATGGCCAACAGATCCTGAAGGATTAGATCCTTTTCATTAGGCATTGTTTTTCAACGGCTCTGCGGGTCTTTTACCCGCTTTATATAGTTTTTTTTTTTTTTTTTTTTTTTTTATTTATTTTTAAATCCTGTGTGTTGGGCTTACTCCGGTTATGGGTACAAGGGTGCAATAGCCAGGCTCTGCTCAGAGTTGTGGATTTATCCCAATTTATTGGTGCAGTGTCAAAGGGTAGGCAAGGTTATCAGTAAGGGGTGTTTTTTTTTTTTTTTTTTTGAGTTTTGTAATATAAGGAGAAAAAAAAAATTATATATATATATATATTCATTTATATGGGTAGGGAGAGAAGAAAGAAAAAATAAAAATAAAGAATAGAAAATAAAAAGAAGGAGAGAGAAAAAAAAAAAATTATTTAGGCCGCAAGTAAAAGCGACTCGAATTGGGCACGTGTTAGGTGCCTGACTAGGCTAAGGGTGGTGTAGACGCTTCTGTGTAGCTGTTCTACACCATCACGTTCAAATAAACGGTATATCCTTGTGGCACCTACTTGATAATGCCTACTAATTAGTTGGCGTAGATTGTAAGGTAGGGCTCCTTCCATTGAAACCAAGACAGATCCCAAGTAAAAGGCATATGCCAGGCTTCCGATTCTATCTTTGGCACCTAAGGCCTGAGTCATATGGTGGTATGCAACCGTAGCTTGAACATAGCTAGGTTGCTCAGGAGGAAAAGGACACGGTATGGGTGTAACATTGAGGGGAAAAACCACAGATAAGTCATATAAGATTCGTTGGGTAGAGTTTAGGTTTCCCATTTTTTTTTTTTAAAAATTTTTGTTTATTTCTTTTTTTTTTTTTTCTTTGTATCAGCGAATGATGCCTTTCTCTAAAAATTTTTGGCCTTATTTATAATTTTCTTGTTCGTAGTAGGGCTTTAATAGTGTCTTATTTACAGGCACTTCTAATAATTTTCCGCCTAGTTCCCGTAGTTTTGGAAGTTTGTTATGGATATAATATAGTCCCTTCCATTTGGGTTCTAGCTTATGGCTGCGTGTTCCCAATTTCCTGGCATCTAGTACTAGGACTTTCTCGCCGATCTCAAAATCTATAGTGGCTTTGAGCTGTCGATCATGACGCTCCTTCTGTTTTTGTTGTTCTATACTAATTCGGCTTAGCACTCTATCACGGACTTCAGATAGATCATGGTCAATTTCGTACAATTGTTGAATGATCATATCTTGTAACAAATCCTCGGATGTACTGAGATGCAAGGGCTTTTCACCTGTAGATCAGGTAAAACGGCGTCTCTTGGGTCGTGGCTTGTTTTGCAGTGCGGTAAGCGAAAAGTATTAATGGTATCAATAGATCCCAATCAGTAATGTTTGTTACTAATTTCGAGATCGATTTACACAGAGTTTTGTTGAAACGTTCTACGAGACCATTTGTCTGCGGGTGGTACGGCGTAGATAGGTGGTGCTTGGTGTTTAAAGCCGCTAAGAGCTCATCTATTACGTGATTATTAAAATGCGATCCTTGGTCAGACAATATGATACTTGGGCATCCGTGTCTGCATACGATATCTTCGTAGATAAACTTCGCCACTTCCTTCGCATTTGCTTTAGGAATTGCGCGGGCTTCTGGCCATTTAGACATATAGTCGGTTGCTACCACAATATATTTGTTCAATCGCGGTGTAATGGGTAATGGCCCGACTATATCTATCCCTACTCTATGGAATGGGGCTTGGACGGAATTGGATGTAGTGTTTCTTTTGATCTTTTATCCCATACTTCTGACAACTTTCGCAGGTCTTGACATACTCAAGTATGTCATTGTACATTTGTGGCCAATAATAATATTCACGGATCTTATTAAACATTATATCCTTGCCAAAATGAGCGCCTAAGGCAGTGTTGGGCCTGGACATTGGACCTGGACATTGGACCACCCTTGTCCAATCCAGTCCAATCTATTGGACCAGAA